ACTTTACTTCTGTGACCTTTACATTTTTGAAGATTACAGGTCAGTTTTTATGTCAAATATCCCTCTAATTTGGATTTGTCTGATATATTTCATCATGATTAGAGTCCGGTTTCCCATTTCAGATACATTCTCAGATATAGATTTCAGGTACATTGTCATTGCATCCTCTCAGGTAACACTTGATTTTAATCTGTCCCATTGCTGCTAACATCAACTTTGATTAAGGTGGTAGCTGCCAGGCTTCTTCACTATAAAATTACTTTTTTCCTCTGTGTAGTTCATATTACTTTTTGGGTACTTACTTTGAGACTGTATAAATATCTTGTTCCTTAACCAATGTTTCATTTATTTATTTTCATTTATGTCTCTGTGGGCTCATGAATTCTTGTGCTATTCAGCAGGTCATCATTCCTTACTATCACTGTTTTTGTTAATGCCTCTGTTGTACCAGTTTGGCCAACAGGCACTCTTTAAAGCTGGCTCTTACTGTGCTTGTGCCACGTTTCCATCACTCTGAACACTTTCTTACTATCTGGCGCAATAAGATTTCCAGACTCTTTTTGTACTTTGCCTGCCCCAGCTTTGGAATATTCCAATTTTCCAAGAGGCCCTGGGAGCTTTGAGTGGAGATTTTGAAGCCAAGTCCTTAGAATTTGGAAGCCTGCTTCTGGGCGGTAGGTGTGCTTTTTGCTGTTGGGATATTGCTGTTGTCAGGTTCTCCCAATGAACAGATCTCAGGAATGTATACATTGTACATACATACATAAGTACATATATATGCACACACATTTGTAACTGTATTCCTAAATGTAATGAACAATTTGAATTTCCATTGATAACACCAATTTCAGGTCAGCAGAATTGTTCTCATTTTCTTCCTTTCCTAAATATGTTACATATTTATAACCTCTCCAATAGTGAGAAACCTGGCTACTGTTATTGTTAATATTTACTTATTTGATCAGTGCTTCCGAATATAGTCCCCCTTTGCTGCCTCTTCCCTTTTTCTCTCAGGACAAATGTGCTTATCACCCCACTCGGGCTCCTTTCCTGTCAGGGTGATGCCCCCCTCTATCTCATTGCCACCACTCTGCACTTTTTGCAGCACCCTCCTCCCCTCACTGACTGACACCTGTGCTGGGCTACTGTTCTCGAAGGGTACCCTGTGACTCTGGGTACCAGGCTGCCCCTCACATGGGCACTCTCCTCATCCTGCTGTGTCCCTCCATATTGCCCTTCCTTGACATTGTTCCTACCGTACACCTGCTACTTCCCACCCCTACATGAAGATACCTGTCTTATCCCACTGGGGCTGCAATATTCTATCCTGGGCTGCCTCCTCTTGTGGACACTCTTCTCAGCCTATACTGCTCCAGTCCTCCCTTCACCTTCATGTGGGAACTCTCCAAACTGTACCCCTGGAAATCCTTGTGGGAATGGCCCTCTCAGCCTACTCAGACTGAGACACCTCATGCCAAGCCACCCTCTTTGGGGAAGTTCTCCTTGCCCTTCTTATCTCTGACAGTTCATGCTAGGTGGCTGCCTGCACTACCCCACTAAGCTAACGTTCTCTCCTTCATCTGTCTACTGCTCCCTTCACCCATAGCTCTAAAACTCTACACTACCTGTTCCTTGCCTTTGTGGGGTTACCCTTCATACCCTGTACCTAGATAACCCCTAACATGTTGCCTTGAAAATTCCTTTTTTGATGATAAACTCCATATACTTCGAGAAATTTCCTTTCCATATTCTGTTATACCTGTCTGTTTCCTTTATGGTAACTTCTTGTTTTCTCTTCTGGTTTATTAGTTCCCTCATTGTCTAAGTGGGTGCTAAGATTACCTCAAGCTTTCTTTAGAACTCTGGAATTACTCTGCCTTTATCTACCTCAGAACAATCCACATCCCTGGGATCAACATCACTGCCTTTTTCTCCCTTCCACTAGTAGCCGTGCATACTAGTTACTGAAGTAGCTGTTGAAAGCCTGAGAAAATACTAGTCTATACTAATAGTACAGTATAATAGTGTAATGATACTAATAGTATAAGATGGAATGATTCATCCATTCTAAGTGATCTATACAGTTGTGATCTCATTGCTGTTCAGAATGATTCCTTGATTCTTTTACCTGGAAGAAATATTCATTTTATTTTTACTTCTTTTTATGGCATTCTCTCTATAGTTGTGATTTTTTCTCACCGTATTTTATTTTTTTAAGAACATGCTTAATTTCTCCTATTAAACCATGAACTCATTATAGACACTTAATATTTGTTGAATGAAAAAAATGAATGAATTGTTGCCTTTTTATGTCAGCAAAGAGGTTAAGATGCTAGGTGTTTACTTGTGATCTTATCTGCCTTTACTTTTGTGTGCATCCTTAATTTACTCACAAGTGGAAAGTGCTCACAGTAAGTGCATTTCTTTGAAATTTTACCTAGCTGAAATAATATAAAGTGCTTAAAACAGTTCATGGAACATAGTAAATAGTCAATACATGTTAGCATTTATGTTTCTTATTACAGAAAATTTTTAATTTTGGTCATTTTGTGGTGAACTATTTTTGAGATATATATTTCTGAAACTTGCCACACTAAATATATTGAGCATCCTCCTTTTTTTCTTAATGAGTTAAATCATCATGAACATCAAAAATAGTAGTAAGTCACATTTTAATTATTCTACACCTCTCATTCTCTCTCACTTTCACATCCTGCTACTCACAGCAAGTTTTTGATTTTTTTCTTTTCAACTAGTTGCTGTAAGTATCTTCTCATTTCCATCCCATTGTTTTACCTTAGTCCTATGCCTTATCATTTCTCAACCTTTCTTATTTTAAGAATTTTAAGAATTTCATAACTGGTCTCATAAGTTCCTCCACATCATACTTTATATTATGGCTAGAATCATCTTTCCATAATACCCCTATTATCAGTCAATGTCCCTAAGAACCTTCCCATTGCTTATCAGATAAAAATCTAATAATTTTTTATGTGTGTGCCCCCTGCCTCCCACTTTTAGTAGCCTTACTGATTGCCCTCTTCTTCCCATACCCTATGGTCCACCTGCACTAATTCTTTCATCACTGCTATTCAAGTTTTTTAGTCTTGTATTTAATGAAAAGTCAATGAACTCTTGAGTAAAGACCTTCAGAGCTCTTCTACAATTTAAGTACATATATTAACATCTATTTTGGCTCACCAGAGACCATTTTTCCTGGGTCTTAATTTATTTCACATTTTTGAGGATTCACAGTAAATCAACTGAAGACTCACCTGAAATGGTATTTTCTCTAGGAGCATCCTTGACCCTAGGCAGTTCCTTTTCAGTGTTTCACTATACCTAGTATGCCTCTATCTGAGTATGTGGTAGTTATCATTGTAATATATGGTGTCGTAACTGAAGCTAAATTTCACCCATACCAATCTGTGGCATTAGCTAGCATTCTGCTTGGGTTTGCCCACATGCATCAATCAAAGTCACGTTTGTTTGTTTTTTTAATTAATATAAATTGTTTAGGAAATATCAAGCCAGTCTAGTTATATCTCCTAGCCTGTGTAGACTCATGATTCACATGGGATATAACATGAATCTTTTTCAAAATAAGGTATCTGTGTGTGTGCATCTGTACACGAAGAAACACACAGACACACACACATCCATTGCATTTGGAGATAATGTGGGGAAGGCTGTCAATAGAAGCCAGATGCTGGGAAGAACAGTGAGTACAGTGAAGGAAACTCCCACAGCTGAGAAAGACATTTGGCTTTTTCTAGGACAAACTTTGTACAGTATCTAAAGGGAATAGTTGTGGTTCTCAGGATGGTATCATCATTGTCATCACTAACTTCTCATGACTTCTTGTGAGGTGATGACCTATCATGAGAAAACAACTCTTTCATTTTTTTGTACAATACAGGATATTTTAGGTATTTAAGAAAGAAAAAATATTAAAGTTCAAAATGCCAAATATCGAAAAGAAAATGTACATCTTTCAATCAGTGATATGCGGTATATCACTGAGAGACCAGCTACTTACAGGGACTCTCCTCTTGATGGCCAGTTAGTGAAAATTGGTAAAATTTTATTTCTAGTAGTCCACACCTTTCATCCTTGGTATCTGTTCTAAAATATCTGGACACAAGAAGGGAGAAGAGATTTTCCATCAACTGGCTAGAAAGTACTCAGTGGCAGATATCTGAAGGGAGATTCAGACAGAGGCTGAATGAATACATGTTGGAGGGTGACACAATGTGACACTGACTGAGGGTTATCAGTGTTGGTGGTCCTGAGACTTTGTTCTATGGGAGTTACCTCTGGCTAGGATAGTGGCTTGATAAGAGCATATGTTGGCCCTTTGGACCCATATTGCCAATATCTAAATGGGCAAGTCACATGAAAGCAGAGAGCTTGAGAGCAACATTTATGACAGAAACACTCAGGGACTATATGATAATATCATGGATTACATGATTCCTATTGCATTTTCAGGAATTATGATGAAGTCAGATGAAGAACAGCTCTGGGTTCTTGCTTCTTGTCAGAGAGAGCTTTGGATCTAGTGAACTTAGATACAAACTGACAAGTAAACCTACTCAGAATTAGGCACTGGTTAAGCCTGGGGGTGCATGGATGTTGCCCCTTTGTTGGTTCTTCCTTATAAGACTATTCTTTCTTCACTGCCTAGCACCATGCCTCATTTATAGTCAAAATGTGGATTGATGGGTAGACAGATGATGAACAAGATGTTAAACTATGGTGTTTGCCCATGGCCTTTCCTTTGAATTGTGTAGTGTTTGGAACATAGAATGGCTTTAATTTTTGAGGCATAAATAACACCCAATGAAAATAAGCATGCTGAAGGAACTAATCGAATTAAAAGCAGATTTTTCTGCTTTTTTTTCCTCTTTTCTTTTACATATATATTTTCTTTTTCATTGAATGACATACATGTGGCTGTATTTATAGAGACATTTAACAGTTGTTTTCTTTTCATGCAGGGGCCTGAATTAATGAATAAATATGTTGGTGAATCTGAAAGAGCAGTTAGAGAGGTAAGATTATGCATAGGAGAACCTTCTATCTCCTTTGTCCTTCTGTATGGTTTCCATTCTGCTTGGGGTTACAGATTTTGAAACTTTCCAAATCCAGATTCTAATGATGTATTTTTCTTCAGGAAAATACAATTTTATTACTGAAAAATACAATTTTGGCCATCAAGAGTACTTTTTATACATCATAATATTACCATCCGTTAGTTTTACCAACTAAAGATTTTTTGAACAACTACCAGCATTTCGTTAAAAAAGAAAAAGAAAAGGATATGTCTATACTTAAAAGAATGCATGAGCTCAGAATGAGAGTTAAATCCTTTAACCAGGTAGTCCTGTAAGTAGAATAAACTTAGTACATGACAATGTCCCTGTGCTCCCCCTTATTTGACTTACTGTACCTTTGCCTGGTGATTTAGACAGTGCATCCCCCTCTTCTGAGTTGTAAAGCCAGTGCCTGATAGGCCATTCTTTCATTTTGTGGAAGCTACACAACTGGTAAATTCTTGCAAAATCAAGGCACCAGAGTCCATTAACTACAGCAATTTGATCACAGGTCTTGACTTTGCTAAGCAGAGGTTGGCCTGCCTCACACAGGCACCCATATCTTCATGTGAGGACAGAAAGGACAAGAGCACAGAGACAGCAACGGAATGGATGGTCTCCATTTGTGAAATACCTGGGTACCGACCAAAAGTATTAGAGATTGGAATAGTTTTTCATCTGAGAAAAAAATTTCAACTTACTTTGTGTCCTATTTTTTTCCTTTAAAATGTAGATGATGGTAATCATATAAAACATTAACTGGTAATGACAGCACCATTACCGATTAAATATGAAAAAGTCATGTTTATGAATATTTACATTTTGGTAACTGTTTTCTGTTTTATGATCATGATACTTGTGATCAGAAAATGTGTGCCTAGGCTTACAGATAACCTATGTTTGGATTTCTTTCTACCTACGCTGACTTTTTTTTTTTCATTGTTTCTTTGATGCTTTAATTATTATTTTACTTTTATTTATTTATTTATTATTTTGGTATCATTAATCTACAATTACATGAGGAACATTATGTTTACTAGGTTCCCCCCCTCACCGATTCCCCCCACAACCCCCATTACAGTCCCTCTGCTGACTTTTTCTAGCCTGCTTCCACGTATTATTGCCCCCATGGCTGTTTGACCGATCTCTGATGTTGGTAGTCTAATTGACTTCTTGTCTAACCAGCCAACTGTTCTGACCAACTTCCAAGTTTTTGCCATTTCTCTAGTCCTGGTGTTAACATTCAACTGTTGCTTTCCCATACAGTCTTCAGAGAAATGTGCAAGGTATTTTGTTTTTGGGTTTATGGGTATTTTATATGCTAAGAGATGGCTGATTTACACATTTATGGTTTTTCTTTTAAACATGTGTTTGATAGTTAATAATACCTATCATTTATTGAGCTTTGACTGTGTTCTAGGCATTGTGTTAAATGTTTTGCCTTCTTTTTTCTTCCTTTAGTTCTTAAAATATGTCATCTGAGGCAGGCACTTATCAGTATCTCCGTTTTATAGACGAGGAAATTGAAGTTTAGAGTAGGAAAGTTTCCTGTGGAAGGTCACACAACTACTAAGTGGTGGACCTGGGATTTTAACTGAGGTTGATTGCTTAACCAGATTGCCTCCAACATACCTCTATGAATATGTGTGTTTGTGTCTTGTCTCTGTTCGCAAGTAAGCTCTGTGGAAGAAAATACTCTTGCATCCATTGTGAAGTGTGTCTACATCTTTATAGGTCATATACAAAGTGATTGGGCTGGTTGACTTGGACTTAATGAATTTAGTTCTAAATATAGTTCTTAATCTAAAACCAACTCTAGAGTTTTCTGGAGTTTGCTGATCTTTAGCTAATGTGCCACTCTTTCTACCAGATCTTCCGAAAAGCAAGAACAGTGGCTCCTTCCATTATTTTCTTTGATGAACTTGATGCCTTAGCAGTTGAAAGGGGCAGGTAAGAAATATTAATAAGACTTCTATTAAATTTTAGCAATAACAGTGTAGAGTAAATAGCATTTCTGTTACTGATTTTATTAATATGTTAGGCCTAAGAAAACATTTTTCACTTCTTATACTCATTAAATTATTTGTTATCACTTTATAGTACTTTCATATACAGGTTTTTTTTTTCTTTTAAACACTGATATCCACTTGGGGCATTTGAGTTAATTTTTATAGTTTATTATCTATAAAGATCCCTAGCACTGTCTATCAAAATTTGAGTTGTTATAAGCATATGATTAAAACTGTAAACAAAGCTTAATTAAGCATAATTATATGATACAGTTAGAAACCAATTATAATAAAGTATTATTACATGATTTTAGTATTCTCTGGACTAAATTATGTTTCCTAAAATATAATTGGTTAAAATAGAATAAAAGTTAGTATTAATAGCTTTGTTTCTGAATTTCAGACTATAAAAAGGATTATTTATAATACCGTTTCAAACAGGTGTGTGTGTGTGTTACTGTGTGTGTGTGTATAAAAAAGTACATCTCAGAACTGTTTGTAAGTATGAATTTAATAAGTCAAATTTTTCTCTGTAAGTTTAGAAGGCCTTTAAGGAATGTGTACTGTAAATACTTCATACTGAAGAAGGTTAATTTGGGTATTTTGGGTGTACCTTCCTGTTGTATATATTGGTTATAAAAGCTCTGTTGATGGTAATTACAGTGATGGAAGAAGGCACCTTATAAATCCCCAGTATAAATTCAGTAAGAGGCATTGCTGTTCTCTTATTTCTTGGGTAAAGCTGCTTCATCAGATGAGAATTTGAACTGTCATTAGGAAACCTGTTAGAAGGTAGGCTGCCCAGCTCTTCACCTCACCCATTGGTGCAGTGTCCTGTAAATACCTAACCTTAGTCCTATGCCTTATCATTTCTCAACCTTTCTTATTTTAAGAATTTTAAGAATTTCATAACTGGTCTCATAAGTTCCTCCACATCATACTTTATATTATGGCTAGAATCATCTTTCCATAATACCCCTATTATCAGTCAATGTCCCTAAGAACCTTCCCATTGCTTATCAGATAAAAATCTAATAATTTTTTGTGTGTGTGCCCCCTGCCTCCCACTTTTAGTAGCCTTACTGATTGCCCTCTTCTTCCCATACCCTATGGTCCACCTGCACTAATTCTTTCATCACTGCTATTCAAGTTTTTTAGTCTTGTATTTAATGAAAAGTCAATGAACTCTTGAGTAAAGACCTTCAGAGCTCTTCTACAATTTAAGTACATATATTAACATCTATTTTGGCTCACCAGAGACCATTTTTCCTGGGTCTTAATTTATTTCACATTTTTGAGGATTCACAGTAAATCAACTGAAGACTCACCTGAAATGGTATTTTCTCTAGGAGCATCCTTGACCCTAGGCAGTTCCTTTTCAGTGTTTCACTATACCTAGTATGCCTCTATCTGAGTATGTGGTAGTTATCATTGTAATATATGGTGTCGTAACTGAAGCTAAATTTCACCCATACCAATCTGTGGCATTAGCTAGCATTCTGCTTGGGTTTGCCCACATGCATCAATCAAAGTCACGTTTGTTTGTTTTTTTAATTAATATAAATTGTTTAGGAAATATCAAGCCAGTCTAGTTATATCTCCTAGCCTGTGTAGACTCATGATTCACATGGGATATAACATGAATCTTTTTCAAAATAAGGTATCTGTGTGTGTGCATCTGTACACGAAGAAACACACAGACACACACACATCCATTGCATTTGGAGATAATGTGGGGAAGGCTGTCAATAGAAGCCAGATGCTGGGAAGAACAGTGAGTACAGTGAAGGAAACTCCCACAGCTGAGAAAGACATTTGGCTTTTTCTAGGACAAACTTTGTACAGTATCTAAAGGGAATAGTTGTGGTTCTCAGGATGGTATCATCATTGTCATCACTAACTTCTCATGACTTCTTGTGAGGTGATGACCTATCATGAGAAAACAACTCTTTCATTTTTTTGTACAATACAGGATATTTTAGGTATTTAAGAAAGAAAAAATATTAAAGTTCAAAATGCCAAATATCGAAAAGAAAATGTACATCTTTCAATCAGTGATATGCGGTATATCACTGAGAGACCAGCTACTTACAGGGACTCTCCTCTTGATGGCCAGTTAGTGAAAATTGGTAAAATTTTATTTCTAGTAGTCCACACCTTTCATCCTTGGTATCTGTTCTAAAATATCTGGACACAAGAAGGGAGAAGAGATTTTCCATCAACTGGCTAGAAAGTACTCAGTGGCAGATATCTGAAGGGAGATTCAGACAGAGGCTGAATGAATACATGTTGGAGGGTGACACAATGTGACACTGACTGAGGGTTATCAGTGTTGGTGGTCCTGAGACTTTGTTCTATGGGAGTTACCTCTGGCTAGGATAGTGGCTTGATAAGAGCATATGTTGGCCCTTTGGACCCATATTGCCAATATCTAAATGGGCAAGTCACATGAAAGCAGAGAGCTTGAGAGCAACATTTATGACAGAAACACTCAGGGACTATATGATAATATCATGGATTACATGATTCCTATTGCATTTTCAGGAATTATGATGAAGTCAGATGAAGAACAGCTCTGGGTTCTTGCTTCTTGTCAGAGAGAGCTTTGGATCTAGTGAACTTAGATACAAACTGACAAGTAAACCTACTCAGAATTAGGCACTGGTTAAGCCTGGGGGTGCATGGATGTTGCCCCTTTGTTGGTTCTTCCTTATAAGACTATTCTTTCTTCACTGCCTAGCACCATGCCTCATTTATAGTCAAAATGTGGATTGATGGGTAGACAGATGATGAACAAGATGTTAAACTATGGTGTTTGCCCATGGCCTTTCCTTTGAATTGTGTAGTGTTTGGAACATAGAATGGCTTTAATTTTTGAGGCATAAATAACACCCAATGAAAATAAGCATGCTGAAGGAACTAATCGAATTAAAAGCAGATTTTTCTGCTTTTTTTTCCTCTTTTCTTTTACATATATATTTTCTTTTTCATTGAATGACATACATGTGGCTGTATTTATAGAGACATTTAACAGTTGTTTTCTTTTCATGCAGGGGCCTGAATTAATGAATAAATATGTTGGTGAATCTGAAAGAGCAGTTAGAGAGGTAAGATTATGCATAGGAGAACCTTCTATCTCCTTTGTCCTTCTGTATGGTTTCCATTCTGCTTGGGGTTACAGATTTTGAAACTTTCCAAATCCAGATTCTAATGATGTATTTTTCTTCAGGAAAATACAATTTTATTACTGAAAAATACAATTTTGGCCATCAAGAGTACTTTTTATACATCATAATATTACCATCCGTTAGTTTTACCAACTAAAGATTTTTTGAACAACTACCAGCATTTCGTTAAAAAAGAAAAAGAAAAGGATATGTCTATACTTAAAAGAATGCATGAGCTCAGAATGAGAGTTAAATCCTTTAACCAGGTAGTCCTGTAAGTAGAATAAACTTAGTACATGACAATGTCCCTGTGCTCCCCCTTATTTGACTTACTGTACCTTTGCCTGGTGATTTAGACAGTGCATCCCCCTCTTCTGAGTTGTAAAGCCAGTGCCTGATAGGCCATTCTTTCATTTTGTGGAAGCTACACAACTGGTAAATTCTTGCAAAATCAAGGCACCAGAGTCCATTAACTACAGCAATTTGATCACAGGTCTTGACTTTGCTAAGCAGAGGTTGGCCTGCCTCACACAGGCACCCATATCTTCATGTGAGGACAGAAAGGACAAGAGCACAGAGACAGCAACGGAATGGATGGTCTCCATTTGTGAAATACCTGGGTACCGACCAAAAGTATTAGAGATTGGAATAGTTTTTCATCTGAGAAAAAAATTTCAACTTACTTTGTGTCCTATTTTTTTCCTTTAAAATGTAGATGATGGTAATCATATAAAACATTAACTGGTAATGACAGCACCATTACCGATTAAATATGAAAAAGTCATGTTTATGAATATTTACATTTTGGTAACTGTTTTCTGTTTTATGATCATGATACTTGTGATCAGAAAATGTGTGCCTAGGCTTACAGATAACCTATGTTTGGATTTCTTTCTACCTACGCTGACTTTTTTTTTTTCATTGTTTCTTTGATGCTTTAATTATTATTTTACTTTTATTTATTTATTTATTATTTTGGTATCATTAATCTACAATTACATGAGGAACATTATGTTTACTAGGTTCCCCCCCTCACCGATTCCCCCCACAACCCCCATTACAGTCCCTCTGCTGACTTTTTCTAGCCTGCTTCCACGTATTATTGCCCCCATGGCTGTTTGACCGATCTCTGATGTTGGTAGTCTAATTGACTTCTTGTCTAACCAGCCAACTGTTCTGACCAACTTCCAAGTTTTTGCCATTTCTCTAGTCCTGGTGTTAACATTCAACTGTTGCTTTCCCATACAGTCTTCAGAGAAATGTGCAAGGTATTTTGTTTTTGGGTTTATGGGTATTTTATATGCTAAGAGATGGCTGATTTACACATTTATGGTTTTTCTTTTAAACATGTGTTTGATAGTTAATAATACCTATCATTTATTGAGCTTTGACTGTGTTCTAGGCATTGTGTTAAATGTTTTGCCTTCTTTTTTCTTCCTTTAGTTCTTAAAATATGTCATCTGAGGCAGGCACTTATCAGTATCTCCGTTTTATAGACGAGGAAATTGAAGTTTAGAGTAGGAAAGTTTCCTGTGGAAGGTCACACAACTACTAAGTGGTGGACCTGGGATTTTAACTGAGGTTGATTGCTTAACCAGATTGCCTCCAACATACCTCTATGAATATGTGTGTTTGTGTCTTGTCTCTGTTCGCAAGTAAGCTCTGTGGAAGAAAATACTCTTGCATCCATTGTGAAGTGTGTCTACATCTTTATAGGTCATATACAAAGTGATTGGGCTGGTTGACTTGGACTTAATGAATTTAGTTCTAAATA